ATTGCTCTGTGGAGACAAGGATTCTGAAGCTCTGACATACTTTGGCCATGTTGCAAGGAAGGGCCAATTCTTTGAAAGGGACATCATGTTTGGGGGTAGAGGGGCAGAGCAAGAGAGGAAGACCCTGGATGATATGGATTGACTGGAGTAATGGGGTTAGATATGTCAGAGACAATAAAGCTGGCTCAAGATAGAGCAGGGTTCAGAGCTGTTGTACATAGAATCGCTATGAGTCGCAAATGACTTGATGACACATAACAACAACAACAGAACAATCATAGTTTTGAAAATTTTTGAAAATTCATTTTAAGTAGTTCACTAATAGGTGGCTTAGTAGTAAGAAGCTGTGCTGTAATCCCAAAGCGACACGGTTTGAATCCATCAGCTGCTCCACAGGAAAAGGATGGGCATACTTCTCCTTACTGCTTCTGAAAAACTGCTCGAGTGATCTGTGAGTCGCTTCTAACTCAACAGTACGCAACACCACCACCTATATTAGCATTTCAAATATATATATATGATTGCATATACTACTATGACCACGTGGATTTAGACCTAGAGCAGCTCAAATCACTCTGGTACATGTATCTAAAACCTCCTGTAACAGATTTTATAAGGTATTATTCCTACGGTCATTCCTGCTTCCCTCTTTGTTGTCCTACACCTCAATCTGCCCTTTAGCTTTAATGAACTATTAAGTAGCAAAGGAGCTTATCCTATTACTGAATACTTAATATTGAATTAAACAAGTGTTTGTGGGTGGAAAGGTAAGGCAATAAAATCTTTTTTCTTTGATAAGACATTGGAATGCCATTCTGCCATAATGTAATTAAGTGTTTTATACAGGAAATTGAGACTGTTTAACAGTAGGCAAGGATGTTATTAGAGCGGTCTCTGTGAAAACTTGATTACCTTTACGCTTTGACTAACAGTGTTTGTCTTGTTCACAGTAACTGTAGTACTGAATGGAAGTGGCTTGTAGACAGAGCAAGAGTTGGCAGCCGATGGACATGGCTTCAAGCCCAGATTTCAGAGCTAGAATACAAAATACAGCAACTAACAGATATTCACAAGCAGATCCGTGCCTCCAAGGTATTGTCTGGGTTTTTCTTCTTTTTGATTATTATTACTATTTTTGTTTCTCCTCATGTCTTCATACATAGTAACTGTTCAAAGACTTTTATAAAAAGGTAGCTGGTGTTTGTTTTTTCGTATTTTCCTGTAAGTTGATGCTGTCTTTGTAATGCCTTTGTTTTTACCTAGATCTTAGGCATTTTGAGTAAATCATAAGTTCTTTGTTGGACTTTAGTTAGTAAAAATTATTTTATTCTATTGGCATCTATTGTAAAAGATGTGAAAACTTCTGAGTGGTAGTGTTGTTATGTACTGTCAAGTCGACTACAACTCTTTTTTTAAAAAAATTTTTATCTTATTATTTTTGTGTGAGTGTACCGTCAAATCAGATCCAACTGGTACAGGAGGAGATTGTCCCTCCTTCCCCGGCAGAGCATCTGGTGGATTCGAACCGTGAGCCTCTGTGATTGTAGTTGCAGCTCCTTACCACTAGGCCACCAGAGCTCCCCTTGACTACAACTCTTAACAACCCAATGAACAACCGATCTGAACCTTGCCTATTCTGCGCCATCATAATTTGTGCAATCCTCACCGCTTGTTGTTGTAGTCACTGCATCATTTCATCCTGTTGAGGGTCTTCCTCTCTTCCTCTGACCCTCTCCCTTTCCCAGCATAGTCTTTTTTCAAAGACTGGCCCCACATGAGACATTATTTTGCCATCTTTGCTTTTAAAGACCACTCTGGCTGCACTCCCATGCATCCTGCTGTAATCTCACTAGGGCTTTCTGTTTGTTTGTTTGTTTGTAGTTTCACTATGAGTTGTAGTCAATAACAATATACTGAACACCGGGGCACAGCCAGGAAATTTCTCAAATGTTACATTTTCATTTGGAGCAAAGAAATTGCCTGTACAGTGGAAGTACCTATCAGTTCCTTCCTGATGGCTTTCTTTTTCCACAAGTCCCTGGGGCTACTTTTCTGATTCAACATTTTTTATATTTATTATTCCCGTCGATGTTTTTGTAGTTTTACTATGCAGGTGTATATCTCTGTCTATAAATAATACTTCATTTTCTCTACATTTAAATGATACCCCTTTACATTCTTTTATAATTTCCCCAAGTTGCTTATCATATTGTTTCATCTTATACTCCCTGTAAGTTATTGTACTGTGTGAGTGAAATCGATAATCTATGAACGTAATGGTCTTTTGATCTGTTATATTCTATATTAGTAGACACATGTGGTGTTCTAGTTTTACGCTAGGAAAAGTGTTATTCCAATGACCACGCATCTCCTGTGCACCTGTAGCAAATGTCTCTTAAATGTATATGTGAAAGTGGGATTGCTGAGTCCTAGACATGGCTTTCTCTAGCTTTTCTGAACTTGCTCATGTGATTGAGTATCAGCAGTTGCTTTGACTGAATGAGAGCTCCCATTTGTCTTTGTTCATGCTAACATTTTATTTATTTTGATTGCTTCATGTTTCCAGCTTAATGAGTGACATTTTATGTCACTACTGTTCTAATCTACTTATTCTTAATGTGGTAAGATTGGACCTCAGTAATTTTTTTTTTTTTTTTTTTGGACCTCAGTAATTTTGACACTCAGATTTTTCATTTTTGGTTTAAGAAATTCATCTGCTGTGTGTTCCTTTATTCTGTTTGGCTGTTTCTGTGTGTTTCTTTTCTTTTTTTTTTTATTTCAATGAACATCTACAGAGACCTTGGAATTCCATTCATTGTTTCTTTTTTAATTTTTCACTTTCATATTTTTTCTTATGTTTCCAAATATGTATGAGTCCATTACTATATGCCTTATATTCATCTTGATTATACTTCTTCGTAAGTCTTGCTTTCTAATATAATAATGACCCATATTGTTTTTCATAAATGTCTTTTTAAATTTTTTAAATTCATTTTAATGAACATTTACATAGACTTTGGATTTTCATTCATTCATTGTTGCATTTTTCTCCCTGCCCACCCCTCCCCCCAATAAATGTCTTTCTTATCAGCCATTCCATCCTAGAATAAACTTTGGTTTTATTGAAATTCCTGTCTGTCATTGTCTAGTGTTAGGCATTAATGCTGCCAATATAAGGGTATATGGTTTGAATCCACTATTTGTTTCTCAGGAGGAAAAGTCTGTGCACTTTACTGCCTCTGAAAACCCACTGACGGGTCATTTATGACTTGGTTTCAACTCCAGGGCTCTTAAAGTCAACAGCAATATCTCTGTGTTTGCTGGGTTGTTTATATTTAATTTTCTGCTTTTTGTGGAAGGGAGGGAGAGGTGAGTAATCTGTCCTTTCATTCTGGTAGCTTTTAAGATTTTTGTAGGTTTTTTTATGATATACAATTTTCTTAACTGATAATCTGATAGCTGATTTCTCTTTGGGTAATCAAAGTATGTCTTTTTAACTGTGTAGTTCAGTGAATCTTGGTAAGGTTATAGAGTTGTGTAATCATCATTACAAACATAGTTTCATCATTTTTAAAAGTGTACACTTGCCTCTTTTTTTCTTCCTCTAGGTTTAGCTTTGACAGCAACTGATTTATTCTATCATTATAATTTTGCCTTTTCTAGAATGTTTTACAAATCCAGTCATAAAGTCTATAGTCTTTTATATCCACCTTCTTTCACTTTGCATAATGTTCTTTAAGCTCACCCGTGTTGTTTGTTATCAGTGGTTTGTTCCTTGTTATTGCTGCATCTATTATAGTTTTTTAACCTATTCACCAGTTGATAGAAATTGAAATAGTTTCTACTTTTGTTAATTATAAATAACATACAATGTATATTCACATGTATTTTTACATTATGAATGTGAACATTTAATCTGAGGTTATATATCTTTATTTAATCTGAAGTTTTTTTCTTTGATTTTAGGAAATTTCCTATTACGGTCAACTGTTGCTACGCTGTCATTATTTTTCTGTTCTCTTTTTCTGAACTTCCTAATTTGTTGTTGTTGTTATGTGCCGTCGAGTCGTTTGCAACTCATAGCAACCCTATGTACAACAGCCCTAAACCATGCTCTATCCTGTGCCAATCTCATTGCCTCTGACACACCCATCCCGATTACCCCAGTCACTGAATCAATCCACCTTATAGAGGGTCTTCCCCTCCTGCGCTGTCCCTCTACTCTACCCAACATGATCTCCCTCTCTAAAGACCTGTCCCTCCTTACAACATGTCCAAAGTATGTCAGAAGAAGCCCCAGAATCCTTGCCTCCAAGGAACAGCCTGGTCTAATCCTCTCTATGATGAATCTGTTTGTTTTCTTGGCAGTCCATGGTCCATTCAATACTCTTCTCCAGCACCACAGCTCAAAGGCGTCAATTCTCCTTCTATCCTCTCTAGTCATTGTCCAACTCTCTGATGCATAACAAGTGATTGCAAAAACCATGGCCTGTATCAGGCGGACCTTAGTCTCCAGAGAGTCACCGTTGCTCTTGAGTACTTTAGAGAGGTCCCTAACCGCAGACTTTCCCATCGCAATACGTTTTCCTAATAGTTTTAAAAATATAAAGAAAGTTTTCCTGTCTCTTAACTGCTCCTTCATAATGTTTATCTCCATGCCTCTCTGAAGTACAGAGAATTCCTTATCTATCAATATCCTAAATCTACTGTTTTATATAGTTTATATTCTATACATTGGCTTTTACTTTGTGATCATATTTTTCATTGATAATATTGTAAAAGTATAAATGCAGAAGAAACTTAGTACCTTGCAAAAGTAGAAAACTGCTTCCAGACTCTATACCATAAGAAAAAGTGTTAAAAAAAAGCTTTGAGTGGTTAAAGCCAAGAGATTCTCAGAGTATTAGACTAAAGATATGATTGTTAGTAAAATCTTTGAACTGGATCAAATTAGTCTGCTTTAAGATTAGATTAAGGGTATTAATTTTCTATTAAATGCTAAAGTTTCGTGGACTTCTCAATAAAGCAGAGAAAGAGAAATAAGATTAGGGATTAGAAGGCAAAAAAATTCCACAACACTTTTGATAATGTCTCCAGGAACTGTTGGTACATTATCAGTATATGGAATTCCCTGAAGTCCAGTACATGGATGGAAAAGCCATTTGAGTTGAAAAATATGTTGTATTTCCAAATATACCATGAACCTGGTCTAAAAGAACCTTTTACTCAAAGATTTAAACTAACCCTTAGGATCCTCTTAACTGGAGACAAATTGAAAGGCTTGTGGTCCTCAAAGAAAGCACAAACATCTGCTAATAAGAAACCCTGGTGGCATAGTATACTTTGTGTTGAGCTGCTAACCTAATGTTTGTTCGAATCTTCTTGAGAACTGCTGTGAAAGAGAAAGATAGGCAATCTCTTGATAATATTCCAAATGGGCTACTAACCTAATGGTTATGTTAGAATCCACCTGGAAAGCTGCTCTGAAAGAGAAAGGCAGTCTCCGCCCATAAAGACTTGCCTCCTGGAAAGCTTTTGGATGGTTGGCAGCAGTGGGTTTTGCTTTTTGAGGGTTTCTTTTTGGGTGGGGTGCAGTATAATATTGCCAAGGTCATTAATGGGAAAGAAAGAAACTTCTGGAGGCTAATTAAGAAACCATAAAGAACATCAATAGAAAGTACTCCTTGGGGATCAAAAGTAGAAAAGTCCGTTTCACTTCCGACTCAAAAAAATCATGGAGTTTTAATCTACCAGCCACTGCTCCACCAGAGAAAGATAGGCAGATTCCTTCCGTGTAATTGACTGCCTTTGAAAACCCTCTGGTGGGCCACTGATGAGTTGGTTCTGAGTTGAGGGTAAATTACAACAACAGCAAATGAGCAAAGAACATACATCACACCTCAAAGTGCTGGTGGCCCAGTGGTGAGAAGCTGTTCTGCAATCCCAAAGGCATGTGGTTCAAATGCACCAACTACTCAGTGGGAGAAGGATGAGCAGTCTCCTCCAGTATGATTTATAGCCTCTGAAAACCTGGGGAAGGATTAGCCATGAGTCAGGCTGACTTGACGGCACACAACAGAAGTGCTCTTACA